CGCCTATTCCAGCTGTGGCCCCGCTTACCTCCCCATGGACACCACGTAGCGCGGCTCAGGCATCTGGTCGTACACCTGCAGGGATGGGGGAGGGGTGCCGGTGTGGGACATGGTGCTGGGTGCAAGGCGACAGGCACTGTGAGGAGGGCAGGGCTGGGTGTGCGGCCCACCTTGCGGAGTGCAGGGGCCATCTTGTTGGTGAGTGTGCCGGCCACAATCATGACGTCGGACTGGCGTGGGCTGGCGCGGAAGACAACACCAAAGCGGTCCATGTCGTAGCGCGGAGCTGCCATGTGCATCATCTCCACGGCGCAGCAGGCCAGGCCGAAGGTCATGGGCCACATGGAGCTCTGGGGGTGGGAGGGGCCGGAGTCAGCGCCCTGGGGTCACATGCTTGGGGGCTCACACGGGACAATTCAGGCCCTTGGCTCCCAGGGAAGCCCAGCCCAGGACAGCAGCACCAGGGAGGCTAGAAGGGACGGCAGGGAGGAAGTGGGAAGGGCGCTGTCCACTGTGGGTGACCAGCAAGGCCCAGACAAGTGAATGGACTCTGGAAGAAAACCAATTTGCTCTGCGAGCATTCACCCCATCCCAACCCTAGGCTAAACAGACAGTGGGCCGTGGAGGGGATTGATGTCATCCCAGTGAGAGGGCAGTGGAGGGGGTGCGCTCAGGGCCCATGTGCAGAGAACCCAGGCGAGCCCATCAGGATAGAGCTGCATGTACACAGTTCTGTACGTGCACATAGACAGCCATGGCCCAGGGCACAGGGGCTTACCCGGCGGGCCCAGTTGATGAGGTCATCCAGCTTGGCCACCACATACTCGCCTCGGCTGCTGGGAAAGGCAGCCACCTTGGGGGCCAGAGCTCCGGCCTTCGGCACAGCGGGCTGGGCGCTGGACATGGGAGGTGTTAGCTGGTCAGGGAGGCAGGTCGGAGCAGGGCTCCAGCCACCAGCCACCTTTGGGCCTTGGGTCCAAGCAGCTCCTCAAGAGCAGGACAATGGGGGTGGGGAGCAGGGAGCTGCCTGCCCTGCAGGTCTCTCAGCCCCCAGCATGCACACTAACTCAGCCCCCTCACAGGAGCCCCAGCCATGGCCCCTCAGGCACTCAGTCTCCCCATCCTGCTCCTTCCCAGCTCCTTCTGGCCATAGGAATGGGTGACCAGCTCAGGGGCAGGGCCTCACCTGCTGGGACGGTCAGTGGCTATGCTCTGGTGAACGCCTCGGGCCTGCGCAGTTGCGCCCACGCTGAGGCTGCTGGAGGTCAGAAGCCTGAGTGAGGCTGAAGGACGGGCTGAGCCTTCGCTGCCCTGAAGAAGCCAGCGGAGCCCTCTCGCCAAGGCCCCAGTCACACCTGTCCTTCCCGGCCTGCCAAGCCTCTGGCCACCCCCACACGCTCTGGTGCACACAGTGAACTAACCCATGCTGGGCTGTGAAGACTGACAGGCCAGCCGACTGCCCCCGCCCCCACAACCCTCCGGCTGCATGGCATTCAGGGCCTGTGCAGAGCATGGTCACTATGGCCTACATGTGACACACAAGAGGAGCTTGGGCAGTTGTGGGGCAGGCACCAGGGCCAATTCAGCCCCCAGTGTGTGCATGTCACTGCGGTCTTATGGGCAGACCCACTGGCTCACGCCTGCTATCTGGCGGTTGCTATGTGTGAAGATGGAGCCGACTCACAGACTGCCCTGTGAGGCTGCCCGCTGCCCACCTGCCCGGTAGACACCCTGCTAACTGCAAGTCTAGAGAAGGCCCGGCTTTACTGTAAGCTTTTCCACTTCTGCTTTGTGACAAACCAATGTGCACTTCAGTTAGAATCAACCCACACCCCCGCCTTCCAGTGAATTCTGACTTGCAGTGACCCCGAAGGGCGGGGAAGAGCTAACTGCTCCTTAAGGGTTCTGAGGCGGTCGGCCTTCACAGACGCAGACTCCCCTCGCCCTCACCTTCAGCTAGAATACAGCCTTCACCAAACTGTACAACAGAGCCAACCCAAACTTGTGCCCTGCTGGAAGCGCCGGCCGACCACCTTGCCCAAGTGCCTAGGGGTCAGCCCGGGCCACATGCCCCCGCTGTCCACCTTGGCCAGTGAGGGGTGAGTCTGTGGCTGCCTCCCACGACCACTAGACTGCCACACCACCCCCACGTGGGCGGTCGGCTGAGTCCACCCAGAATCCAGCCACAGGGGCTGAAGCTCTGTGAATGTCCCCAGCCCACACGCTCCCCCTCCGGACAGCAGGGCAGGCCATCAGGGTGGGTGGTCGGTGCCAGTACTCACCGCAGACAGAGGGTCTGGAGACGGACCAGGCCAGGAGCTGCAGAGAACCGAGGGTTGAAGAGGGGCAGTGAGGCAGGCAGCCAGGAGCATGCTTGCACCTCACCTCTCCAGACTATGGGCTTTAGCCAGCTCTCCCACAGCATTTCCACCGGCCTTTCTCTGGCAGCGCCCGCCACCCAGTGGTTTCACTCCCCAGTCAGGTGAAAGTAGCTGCTGGCAGGAGCTCCATCTATTCCGGCCCGTGTACAGGGAGGGAGGAGCCGCCCAGCCCTGGTGCCGAGTCTGCTCCAGCACCGAGTAACCTGGGTACAGGGAAGAACTGGCCAGCCCTGCACTAGCCTCACAGTGCTCAGTGGTGGACCACTGCAATTCTGTGCCACCCCAGGGGGCAGGGGGACACAAGACATGGCCTTCCTCCAACTGTCCCAAGGTCAGGAGCCCAGCCTGGCCTCCAGGTGGGGCTACCTGGCAGCCACTTGGTGACAGAGGGGCATGCAGCAGAGGTCACCTTGCTCAGAGAGGCCAGGGTGTCCTGCCTAAAGGGGCGCTGTCTCCTAGGGTCTTGGGTCACATTGGAGGGTTTGGCAATGTGGCTATGGGCGGTGATTTTGGGGATCACGCCGGAGGCTCTGGAGGTATGGCAATGGAGGGGGTCTTTGGAGGTCAGGTAGTGAGACTTTGGGGGGGGGGGGGGGGGGGATCCACGTGACAGTGGATCAACCGATTGACAGTCCACGCCGAGCAAACACCCCCACAGACACAAGAGTGACATGCCAGGCCTGGGCAGCCGTGCACGTGGCCCCTGTCCCTGGGAGCGTGCAAGGGTCATGCTGTCCACAGGACTCTGAAGGGGCTTCCAGCATAAGGGGTGGGTCAGGGTGAGAGACCTTCCTGACCAACAGGTTGGACAGGGAGAGATCAGAAAGGCCAGGGCCCAGCGGGGTGGGAGGCTGAGGGGGACCTGGGGCTCCAGGGCCGGGGTCAGCTACCCTGGTCCACACAGCCTTCTCCCTCCAAACTCCTCGAGCTCAGATGGGCTGCCTGGCAACCCTGACTCCGACCTCGTGCAGGCCAGCCTCATCCCGCTGCCCCCATCCTCTCTACCTACCCCTCCCCTTCCAGTTGGGCAAGAGGCCAACTATGCTGCCCTCCACTCCTGTGGTTGATGCCCCTCTCTGCACCTCAGTTTCCCTACCAGAGTCAGCTCACAGCAAGGCAAAGAGGACTACATCACACCTCTATAGGGTGGAGGTGCGTCACACCAACTGGATGGCTGAGGGGTTGGTCACAGCGGGCATTCCAAAACAGGGGCCAGTGACCCTGCGTGCTGTCACTCTGAGGACCGCTAACTAAAAGGCTGCGGGGTCATTTCCACGCCCAAGAGGAGAAGCGTGGAGACTGCTTCCAAAAGTAGGTGCCACCTGCACCCAGCCAAGTCCTTCGAGGGGCTGCCCAGCTCGACCGGGATCCCCAGAGAATGGGGTCGGAGCGGCCGTGAAGGCGAGTGGCCTGAAACCCTGACGCCCCGTCGCATCCCGACCTGAGGACAGGCGTGGAGCAGGGCTGGGGCCGAGCTGCCCGTCCCTTGAGGGTTCGGGTCCCGGCCCTCCGGGGTCTGTTACCCCGTCAGGTGGGGCAATCCCTGGCCTGCCCCTCCGGGCACTTCGGGGGCAGCACCTCTGGGCGCCCCTGGGCCTCGAGACACTGGCGGGCTCCCTCCAGCCTCCGCCCCAGCGCCCTCCCGGGATGCATGCCGGCGCGGTGGCCCGCCGGGGTCAGTTTCCAGGACCGCAACCAGCGCGCAAGGCCCTCGCTCGCCGCCCGAGGCCCGCGGTGCGGGCGACGGAGCGCCTCGTTCCGACTCCCGAGCCGCGGCCACAGCCTGCGGCCCAGACCCCGGCCCGGCCGGGGGCCCCGAGTGGCCGCCGGCGCCGCGCTCACCAGACAGCGCTGCCATGTCGGGCTCGGCCTTCAGACAACCTCTGAGGTCCGCTCCCTCGGCGCTCCGGGTGCCCGTGCGGCCGCCAAAGGGGCTCGGCTGCAGCGTGGAAACAGGAGCCAGGCCGCACGTTCCGCGGCACTTCCCGGCCCCACGCGGGGCGCCTCCCCGAGCGCTGACGACGACTCCGAAGGAACAATGGGGTGCGCTGGGCCTTGGGGTGCGGTAAAAACCCACATGGCACCCGTTTCTTCACACCTCGGGAAGCATTAAAAGGGGAAAAAAAAAAGCGTCCGTTGCACGTCCCTGGGTGGGCTCGAACCACCAACCTTTCGGTTAACAGCCGAACGCGCTAACCGATTGCGCCACAGAGACGGCGCTGTAAAACGGCTCTCCACGCGGCCCTTCGAAGTAAGCGCAGCCGGCCTGTGCAGACGACACGCCTAGGGGCGGAGTCCAGGGAAGAGCAAAGACTCGCGCAGCGGCCGAAATAGCTCAGTTGGGAGAGCGTTAGACTGAAGATCTAAAGGTCCCTGGTTCGATCCCGGGTTTCGGCAGCGGGTGAAGCAGACCCAGAGATGTGGTGTTGCCTTTTGTTTCAGTCTTTGTTCCTTTTTACCTTCTCCAGAATCTAGAGTAGTTAGATTTCAAAACATGTTCTCCTTTCTTGGAAAGCATCTCTTAAAAAATACGTACTTTACATAGCAATTGTACAATACTGCTTGATGTAATTGAACTATGAAATGGTAAGATGTTTGGATTAACGCCTAATAAAGTAGTTTGGAAAAAAACGTTTTTAATATATACTGAATTTAAATATACATTTAAATAATATATACCTACATAAAGCATCTCTTTTTAAAATATGTTTATACGTAAGTTTATATATAAGCTTAAATAAACATGTGTTTTAAATTAGATAAGTATACTTAGTATATAATAATTACCATATTGTGGCTAAAATGTCGATGTGTCATGGAGTTGGTCCCGACTCACAACAGAACGACAGGCCGCCGCCCCCACCACTCCCCGTGAGGGCCTCCTCTTTCACGCTGCCCTCTGCTTTCTAGCAGGATGCCCTTCTCCAGAGGCTGGTCTCCCGACAACATGTCCAAAGTCCGTGAGCTGAATGAAGGCTCACCATCCACATTTCTTATTTTTTACTTGATATGTTTATTACTCAAAATGCTTCTTTTGTATTTATTTAGCGTTCTGACTCTGTGCTTGTGCCTTCGACACACGATTTCCTGCCCTTAATGAGGAAAGCATGCTTGATCCCTGCCCTGGACACAGTTGGCACACATGGCCCTGCTGGCAGCATGGACCCCTCGCTGTCGGCCTGGGCGCATGCCACAGGCAGCTTTTGGTGCTTTACCAACCTTCTTCGGAGGAAGGTAAGCAATTCTATTACCAGGGTTGGGACAGCCTATTTTTGTTAGAGGCTGTATAGGTCAGACGCTAAACCATTCTGAATGCCTGCCTCTATGCAGCATCCCAGGAGGAAGACTGGCCATCGACGTTTCTAAGGAGCACTTGGCTGTACTTTTTCCAAGAGAGACCCAAACGCAGCTTTCACACTCTGACACTGAGTTCTGACACTGATCACATGGCCATGCTGGGCCCCCAAGTTGCTTTGCTCTTCCATTAACATAAATGCAAAACTACCCCCCACCCCACCCCGCCAAATACCGAAAAACCCCCTCCCACTCCCTCGGCTGAGGTCATTCAACCTGCAGTGAAGCTGTCTTTCCTCCCAGGAGTCCAGGCTGTGGCTCCCTCCTGAGCTGAGGCCCTAGAGGGGGATGTAGGGGTGTAGGAGTGAGGGGTGTGGAGTGTGTGTGTGTGTGTGTGTGTGTGTGCTTCTTATTCCCACCACCAAGGCTGTCAAACAAACAGTGGTATGTGGGCTGAAACTGTAGGGGAAGCGGAGGGACATGCTTAACAGGAATTCCAAGTCCTTTCCCTTTAAAGACCGCAGTCAGTTGAGTTGATGGCAGCCCCCGGTGTCAGGCAGAAGTGGGCTGCCTGGGACGTTCAATGGCTGGATTCTCAGGTGACCTCCAGGCACCTCAGGGTGGACCTGGGGGTGGGTGCCGACCCCTAACCCTCCTAGCAGCAGCCATGAGCTCCAATTTGCAGCTTTCATCTAAGCTGACAGTTTGTTTCAGCATGAGCTAGTCTCAGAAAGGAAACGTCGCTGTTGTACCTCCCATTTCCGAGCCCAGGGTGGGGGTGCGCAGAGGCACTGCCTGCAGAACCCCCGTCTGTACAGACATCCATTTGCTCTCGGGGTCCCATGCGCCCTCTAGCCAGGGAGTGGCCGTTTCTTGGATGTGGTTTCTGGTGGGTGGCTGTGCTGAACAATCTTCTGCCTTACTGCCGAGTCGGGGTTGGGGGTCCTTGTATTTAGTCTCCTGCATCTGTGGTGTGGGAGAAGCTACAGGAAGTGGGGAGCTGTGAAATGGCTCTTGGCCCTGTGCTTCTCAGTGGGCAGCAGCGGCCAGACTTGCTGGCTCGGGCTCCTTTCTGGGCAGGGCGTGCAAGGGATTTGAGGCCCTCAGGGAAGCATGGAGGGAGCAAGGTCAAGCACGGGGCTGCCAGTGGCAAGGTCGGGCTGGGCCACCCCAAGCCCCTCTGTAGGAGGAAGACAAGGTGGCCTCAGAAACCACGGAGCAGGTCTACTGGGTCCCCATGAGTGGATCAACTTGATCGTAGTAGGCAGGGCGCATCCCTGATGGCCCAAGAGACCACCTCATGCCCTCCTGTGTTGTCATTCCACTCCCCCCACCCACCTGCACTGTGTGACTGTGATGGGTTGCCTGGCATCCCCTTAACCCCTATCCCCAAACTAAACTCACTGCTGTCAAGTTGATGCCAACACACAGCAGCACAAGAGGTCAGGAAGAACTGCCCCATAGGTCTCCGTGACTGAGACTACAGGAGACACCCAGTCTGTCTCCTATAACCTCTCTAGCTGGGGTAAAAACCCCATTATGGACCGAGGTTCCTTCTGCTCTGCTGTCCAGGCAGGGTAAGTGTAGGGTGTGCGGCTGGCACTGCCCACAGAGGCACACACACCTAGGCCTGAGCTGCCCACACAGTGGAGCCTTGAGCGGATGTGGCAGCCAGTGTGTGGAGGCTGGGTAAGCTGAGTGAGCAGGGAATAGTGGCAGCCCTGCCAGGGTGAAGAGGAACACCCACTGTCATGGTGATTGTCACAGCTGCACTGGGTGCCCAGGCTATACAGGGTGTTCCCTCGGGTCACCTGCTGAGGGAAGCCACCTCCATGTAACAACACCCAAGCCAGCCATGTGTTGGGGCTAGGAGAGTGGGGCACAGAAGCCCTGCACCCTGGAAGCAGAGACCTGGCCTTGGTCACCGCCTGGCTGCTTTTGAATCCCAGCCCACAAAAGCTGGGAGAACTTGGCTGAACACCCCTGGCTCCCTGGGGAAGGTGCTGCAGTACTGATGGTGGATGCCGGAGGGCCATCAGTGTGGCTGGCAGGTGACTGGACTGGGGCGGGAGTGAGGTGGGAGCGACGACACCACTCAGGACCAGATGATGCAATAAACATGCCGTTTGGGGAAGGGTAGGCCACACTTCACTCACACTCATCCTGGGACAAGCTGCCGATAGAGCCTTAAGGGTGAGGGTCCCTCATCTCCCCTCAGTCAGTGGCCACGTCGCAAGACATCAGTAGGCCAGACAACTAAGGGACAGTCTTTGGGGGTCAGTGGATCTCAGGGGATACTGGGTGATGCAAGACATCTGTGGTTGTCGTGCTGCATCAAGGGCGTGGAGGCCAGGCTATTGCCCAATCTGGTGCACAGGACCCACTCCTGAGTCGGCAGTGCTGAGGTGGGGGCCCCAGGGTGGTAAAGTGGAGTGGTTGCTATGGTTGGTTAAGAAAGGTGGGAAGCTGGAGGTAGCTGGGAGGAGGGAACCCTTTTGGGGCAGGGGTGCAGAGCCAGTGGGCTATGGACAGTGTGCGGAGGGACTGTGGACAGTTCGCTGAGGTGGGGAGGCTGTGGACAGCTAGAAGGACATTCAAGGACCAGCATTCTGCATTTCCTCTCAGGACCTTCTTAGAACATTCTTCAATTCACCTGCTGGTACAGCCCACTGACTGGCTTCCTCACCAGAGGTCAATCTACAATGTGGAGCACAAGTAGAAGCCCCCTGCTCCCCACCCCCACCCCCCTTTCCTACTGTGCTGAGTCCTACGGCAGCTTTCGGGCTGGCTTCCAATAAATGCCCTTGGGACCCACATGCAACTGAGACAGCAGACATCTACGTCTCAGCCCCCACCCCCACCCCACCACTCAGGAGCTGGGTGCCACCTGACGGAGCTGGCCATATTTAGGCTGAAGATATCTAAGGGCCCCTGCATCTGTCCTGTGGAGGGACAAAGTGTGTTCCAGGCCGCTCAGAAGCCGACGGTCAGCCTTCTATTCTGAGTTTCTCAGCATCAGCCCCTGCAGCTGCCAGTTGTTCTGACCAAGGACGGCCCTGGTCCTGCCCAGTTGCTGAATGGAATGGGGTTGAAATAGAAAAGTTGGAAGGCAGGACTCTCAAAATGTTTTTAATTCCAGTTGCAAGAATTAAACTCAAAAAAAAAAAAAAAAAAGAATTAAACCCAGCAGCCAAATGGCAAGAACATGGACAGAGAAGCAGAGAAACAGGTATAAAAACAGGTCACAGTAACAGGGTCAGCCCTCACGACACCACTTCCCCCAAAGCAGCAGGTACCGTCCCACCTGGAGCAACCGCAGGGGGATCCACCAGCAGAGCCCGGCACCCAGAGGGTGGGGGGGTATGGGTTGGGGGGGTCCCGAGTTCCCCATGCAGCAGGGCATGGGGTCTCGTTGAGCCTGAGGCGGCCCCAGCACTGAGCCAGGTGCAGCTAAACTGTGCACAGGCCAGACTGCCAGACTCAGGTCACCTGGACTAACTTTGGGGCTTCTTCCTGGGCTCACTGGGAACGAGCTTGAGTGGGGGCCTGTGGCCTCCCCCATCCAGACGGCTGGAGTAAAGTGGGTGTGGCCTTGGGGAAAGGCACAGGTCAGCCTGGGGTCGGGGAACACTGACTGGTGCCTCCACACCATCAACGCCAACAGAGGCTCGAGACTATGTGCTTGCTCTCCCTACGGCAGTTGGCCTGATGGTCAAGGCCGATTGCCGGGCTGCCCAGCACAAAGACACGGCCACTTCCTAGCACAGTGGGATACCCGCAGACGCCGGCACAGCTCAGACCGAGCACCTAGTCCAGCTGGGAATGGCCAGCTTGGGGGCTGTTCTCCGGGAGAGCCCAGAATGGCCACCAGCCGACTCTTTGCAGCTTGTTCTCCCTTTGGTTCCACTTCTGAAGAGACAGTCTCTTCTCCCTCAAAGGCACCCAGCAGTGTGGGGCCACCGCCTACAGGGCACAACGGAAAAAAACCAGGCTCTTTGGTGGTGCGCACCAGGCAGCCGCACAATGGGCTTTAACGGGGTGGCACACAGACCACAGGGAAATGGGGCACTGTAGTGGGACACAGCACATAGGGCAGAAGGAGGGGGCACAGCCGGTGTCTCCCAAGTGCCACTGTCCAGAGGGGGTCCTGTTGAGGAGCGCCAGGTCAGCACTCCTGGATGGCAGCAGTGTCACCGCTGCTGCTGCTGCTGCTGCCGCCGCCGCCCTTCCCGGAGCTGATTGTCGAAGATCTCCTTCTCCCTTCAGGAGACAGAGTGACAGCAGCTCAGAGAGCAGCCGCTTCCAACAGCCCTTCCTACCCGGCCTCCCCGCCAGGCGGGAACTACCACCCAAGCGCTCGGGTGGCCAGGGCACAACGTGGCCCATCCCGCGACACGGTGCCCCTGGAAAACGCTGAGTTGGGAAACATATTTTTACAGTTGAAAAAGAGACTTTATCAGTTACTGCTCGGCTTGACACTCCCAGGACATCAAGGGATCCAGTGGGAGTCAAGAAGCCCTCCAGGGGGGCTGAAAGTGAGCAAAAAGCCTGTCACAGAGGAAATAAATACACAATACATGCAAAAGGTGCTAGCCTGGAGGTGACGCCAGAGTGCCATCAGAGTGGGTTTCTGACTCCTCAGGTTGGCCAGCCCTGTGCCTCGAGACCCACTGTGCTGGCAGGGAGAACTGGAGACAGAACTGAGGCGGAGAAGATATGGGGACCAGGGTATTTGGACCGTGTCCGCCACATAACCACGGTGAGCTGCGCGAGTGGCCTGATTAACTCCAAGCCACAGAGCCATGCGTCCTTCTCCATGGTCACTGGGGCCTGGTCACTGGGGTCTCAGGCACAGCCTGCAAAGCAGCACTTCAATCAAAATGTGGCATCGCAGTCACTGGGGACAAAAAGGTCCTCGAGGAAAAGAAAGGAAAGATGGCCTTGGCCCAGTGCCGAGTCTAGCGGGGTTGTAATGTGTGAGCGCAGCAGGTGGGGGGAAAGAAACCAGGGTCACAGGTGGGGACAATGGGCCCGGAACGCAATGGACCACTCTGAGCGGGGTCACAGCAGCGGGACTTGGACCTAAAACCCAACCCAGACAGACTTCCTGGTCTGACAACGGCGCATAGGGCTGCTCCCCTGCACCAGAGGACAGGCCTGCAAGTGGGGGGACACACCCAGGACCACCAACCATGTGGCCGAGCCCAGAGGCAGCAAGAGCAGGAAAGGGCCGCCAATAGGAACGGGCCCAGGGAGGCAGCAGCTGAGGGACAGTGAGGGGCAGCAATGTGTGAAAAACAAAATGAGCACAAGTTTAGGACAGAAAGCTGCTGTCTCTCAAATTTCACTACATCCGGGAAACCTGCTCTGTCAAGTCTCACTACATAAGGGGGTGTCAGACACCAGCTTCTCTGGGAGCCAGACCGTCCCTCACTGGGGCCTCCTGGAAATGAGCGAGGGTCCAGAGGCTGCAGGCCTCTGCCACCACGTCCCTGCGGCTACCGCCTGCCTGGCCAGAACCCAGCTCTCACTGGCACAGAGGCTCTTCTCTGAGGCTGCCTGGCCCCACTCTGGCCCATGCTCCTGGCGGCCTGCCCAGGGACAGGATTAGGGGCTCAGGGGTAGGCCAGATCCCAAGGGTGGCCCACACACCAGCCAGAGAAACGTCTTGATTTCCGCTTTGTTTTGGGCGAGGAACCGCCCAGGGTAATCACACCTTTGTCCTTGGCAGCTCGGGAACATGACTGGCGACAAGAGATGGGAGCCACTGGCATGCCAGGCCAAGCCAGCCCGGCGAACTGCACTCCCCTGCACACCAGGCCGGCCCACCACACCTCGACTGTGCATGCCAAGTCTCCGGCCTTGGCAGAAAACTGCCAAGCGTTTCTCTAATACTCTGGTGACCCCCAGGGTTTGTTAGGTGACCACTGTGCCTTCAAGCACAGGTGTACAGAGCCAAGACCAGAGCATCACGGGCTTCCAAGACGCAACCTTCAAGGAGCAGGGGGTTAGCCACTGGGCTTGCAGTCAACAGCCCCAAGCCACCATGCCACTGTCCGGCAACAAAACTGCAGCCGCCTGTGTGCCGAGGGAGCACCTCAAACGCAGAAACATGCAGGGGCCTGTGGTGTGACGACCTGACCCAGTGCAGCGAGGTAGTGCCTGGCAGCCAGAGCTCGTTTTCCTCAGATTCCCACAGCCCACAGCAGGCGGCCTACCTGTAGCTGAGGCACGGTCCTTTAATATACTTCTGCTCAGCTGTCTTGTAGTCCACCTCCTCCACGGCAGAGATGGCACAGATGATGGCCTGCAGAGAACACAGGGCTGGAGGAGGGACGGCAGCACGGCTGCCAGAGCTCAGCCTCCTGCAACAGCCCCCAGGGCTGGCTGCCTGCGGAGGTGGCACAGCTGGAGCATTAGTGAGCCGCCTCCTGGGTCAGAGACCAGAGTGAAAGCGCTGGGTAAGCACAGGGTAGTCTGACTGCCAGGCAGGGTGCCACTAACAGCAGAGGGCATTGCAGCCCACTGGAAGGGTGGGTTCTGGGGCTATCACTGCAGGGCATGGGTCTCAGCCTACCCTGTACACCCACTTTGGGCAGCGCCACTCCCCAACTGATACCTCGGACAGCGCCCCAACTCACACCCACATTGGGCAATACCCCCACCCCCTGTATGCCCACTTCAGGCAGTGGCCCCCCAGCCACACGCCCACCTCAGGCAGCAGCACATCGAGGATGAGGCGGACGCAGTCCCCGTGGGCGCGGGTCAGTGCAGTGCTGCCCGTCTCCTGGCAGACGCGCTGCAGGTACTTCACCACCAGGTCCAGCTGCTCCTCGTCCTCCAGGTAGGTCTCCACGCACGTCACGTACTGGCTGGAGCACAGGGAGGCCTGCAGCCAGCGCGAGGGCTTACGGCTCCGCAGGATGGCGCGCAGGTGGCTCTCAGCACCCTTGGCCTTCACAATGAACTCCACTAGTTTCTGGTTGGCCCGGTCCCGCGCCGCCCGGGTGCGGTCGGGAAGCACCTTCCGGCTGGGCGTACTCTGGCCCAAGGGGCTGCCAACCTCTGGCTCCTCAGGGTCCCCCCGGCTCAGCTGGGGGAACGCAGCCCCTAGAATGTCCTGCTGGATGGACTTCCTCACGGGGCAGCCTGCAGGGAAGCACAGGCCAGGCGTCCACGCTGGCTCGAGGCACTGCTACAGCATGTGGCCGGCCTAGGTCAGGGGGAGGGGAAGTTCTTGTGGCTGCCTGGGCTTCCTCACAGGCTGGGGCCCATGCTGCCTGAAAGTGCTGCTAACAAGGTTCAGTCCAGGTCTTGAGCGGGTGGGGGAGAGCTGGGGACTAAGGAGCTGCCCTGCCTTCAGGGTAACGCAGAGCGCATGACGTTCACATTCTTACAGGATCCTCCTTGGGCAGGTTTCACGATCCTGTCAAACAGAGCCTCTCTGCCCTTCACCTGCCCAGAACCATGATGGGGATGTGTGGGGATGACAGAGTACACACGGGGAAGACAGGGACAGGAACACAGGGAACATGGTGCAGGCTACAGCAACACCCATGGCCCATCAGCGCCTGGCAGGCGCTTTACTCCGGGCAACAAGAACAGGACATGCCCAATGGTTGGTAGCCAAGGGGCTGCCCCCCTGGATGGACCAGGGGCACCACCCACAAGCTGACCATGTCACAACATACAGAGCTCCTAGTTGCAATGCATGATATGGACTTGTGGGCCCGGGTCCCTGTGCCCCGGAGAGATAGGAACAAAACAGAGACAGACTGAGCCAAGGGAGGGCACTGGGACTCACTGATGTCGGCGGCATAGTACTCCAGGAACGAGCCGGTGAAGGAGCCGCAGCCTGTGGGAGAGAGGGGCGCTGACTAGCTGACGGACAGGACATGGACCAGCCGCCCACCCGTGGTGCCCTGCGGGGTGATCTCTGTGCTCCCTGATCAGGCCCTGGGGGCCCCATGGGCATGCGAGCAGGGTGTGTGGGTGGTGTCACCACACCCCCAAGGCCCCACACACCTAGCCGCACTCTGTAGTCTGTGATGAGAGCCACGCACCAGCTGACAGCCTGCTCGAAGTCCTGCTTGGCTTTGTGCTGCAAGAAGACATGGCGTCAAGGCATCGGATAGCCCTCAGGTTCACCTGGGGTCTGGTGCCACCTGGTCTGGGCACCTCCAAGCCTCATCGGTAAAGGGCCGGCCACTTGCCTCAGGCCGAGGCACAAAGACACAGGAACAAAGGCACGGGAAGTGACCTTCAGAGACCATCTCCTAGCACGACGCCTGCAGACAAGGGGGCCTGTATCACGGGTGGGATGGGGTTTCCCCAACTTCTTGGAGCCTATGAAACCCAGTCATGGCTGTAGTCACAGGTGGGGGGCAGTATCCCTGATTTCTCTGAGGCTGTAAACACTCAGCGCCCATGCTCACAAGGCTGGGGAGGGGGTGTCACAGACTTCTCAGGGCCCAAACGGGGTCAGGCAGACTCTCAGGCCTGGCCAGAATAGGCACGTGGGGCTCTGGAAGCCTCTGAAATAGGATGTCTGACAAGGAACCTCAATGATGGTGGGTGGCTGTGCCCAAAGGGAAGGCACCTGGGTCACCAGTGTCCCCAGCAGGGCTGGAGAGCAGGACTGGTCCGCCCGTCAGAACCCGGAGCTGTGGGCACATGCAGCAGTGTGAGCAGCAACAGCGCACCATGAGCATGCAGAAACCGCCAGGACCAGTACACAGCCAGCCAAGGTGGCAGGCACTGGGAAGACCCAGGCCATGGTTGAACCCCAGGGATGCCCCAGAGGCACACAGAGATCTGGTTTCACTGGGTCCCAGGAGTGATTCGATGGGACACAATGGGCCTAAGGGCATCTCTACGGAAACAGGTTCACTGGTTTCTCCCCAGAGCCGCCAGGTAGCCTCAAACCAGCGACCTCTCGGCCAGCAACCCCTCAAACATCGGAGCTATGCGACACCTTCACACCTGGCTTCACAGAGAGGAGACCTGCACATTCTAGAACATTCTGGGAGCTGCAGGACCAATGCATCAGGCACTCCTCACACACACCCTGGCCAGCAGAGGTCCCCTCTCTGCACTCCTGGCCCTTATTTCTGGGGAGCAATTCAGGGTTCCAGGTGAAAGAGACTGACTGGCCTAGGCAGTGAAGCACCCCTAGCTGCTCAGGGGGCAGAGAAAGGCTAGGGAACACAAACCGGGAGACCCCTCTCCATCCCACCCCCCACATCTTTCCCGGCCAAGTGCCCTATAGGATATCTGCCAACATCCACGGGCCTTTCACAGAGGACCCCTGGCCAGCCTGCCTCCTGCTGTGGCCCAGGACATGCCTCTTCCACAAAGCCCACCATTTCCTCTCCTGCAGAAAGGGACACAGGGCCTTCCCCCAGCACTGTGACGATTCAAGGCAGGGACCCCAAAGGTGTCAGTTCAGAAAGCAGGCTAGGGGAAGACCCCACAGGGCCAAGACCTCACACCACTGTGCCCCCTCGGACTTGGGAGGCCCCCCCACACCCTCTCCCCGGGAAGAAGCCAGCCCAGGGACACAGGGACGCAATGTGCTCACCCACCATCCTCCCCCACTTACCAGCAGGCTCTGTTTCTCCTCGCAGTCAAAGTGCTTCAGCCGCCGCAGAGACACCGCGATGCTGCCAGGAAGAGTGCGCACATAAGCGCCTGCGGCACCAGACACCCTGCTCCGGCCAGGGGAGGCTGAGGGACCCTGCACCCAGTTCTCCAACACCCAGGAGGATCAACCCATAGAGAGATGCTGGGCAGCCAGGCCGGAAGAGCAGGCCCAGGAATGCCATGGTGGCATCGCACTCGGCCACCAGCAGGAGGCAGTGGCAGCACAGACAAGAGGCATTGAACTGCGAGTTAGCCAGCTGTGCCACCTTTTAAAGCCTGCAAGGCCACCTCTGCCTCTTTCTACATCAGAGCTCACAGAAAACAACTGGCCAATGGTCAAATGTGGCCACAGGGAATTCAGAGCAAGTGACCTGCCTCAGATACCTCAAAGCAGGTGACCAGGACCAATCCCAAGGTTCACCCCTCTCTGGCAGTGCTGAAAACCACAGGGTCTATGGGTCCCTATACCCATCAGCCCAAGTAGCTGGGGCTCTGCCACCAGGCCTCCCCACCCCTAGCCCCCATTCCTTCGAGCTGAGCACGGGATCCCTCGTGGGGAGACAAGCAGCCATCTTTACCCTCTCCCCTTTGGGTTCATGTTTCCTTCGATGAAGAGGACACTGGCTTTCTTATCTCGTCGCCGGAGGCTTTTGACCTGTTGGCAAATCCAAGGGAATAATGGCATCTCAGGAACAAAGGAGAGCAGAGGGGAGGTCAGGGCTTTAAACCAGCCCCAGACAGTCTCCTGTGCATCTTAGTGGAAACACTTGATGCAAAGAGACATGCCCCACGCGGGTGGAAGGCTTTCAATGCAGTCACTGTTCAGGACCAGACCGGCAGGTCTGTCATCAGAGGGCTCCTCTGGGTCAGTCTGAGCCACCAACCCTCTGATTTGGTCCAGTGCTTAACTGTCTGAGCCACCAGGGCTCCCAGGCAAAGTCTAGCACCATAAACCCCAAAGAGGACAGGTGCCGGGCCCACACCTTGCAGATGGTTTTGTAAAAGCAGAACCAAGCAGCCGTTTTTGTGTTTCCTCATGAAAGGCACAGCACCTTCCACTGCAAACTTACTTTTGACAGGGGTCACTATCCAGGGGCTGCTGGGCCAGCAGAGAGCTGACAGTTGCTCAGGAGCATGCAGGAAATGCGTGGTGAGTGACAACCCCGCCCCAGGGCCTCCCAGGCTGCCTGGACAATGGGGCCTCAAGGCCAGGTCAGCTGTGTGGACTTCTCACACCCACTGAGACTGGCAGGCCAACAGAAGTAGAACTGAATAAAGTAGAAAAATGGGGTGCCAACTGCCAGGGGAAGAAAAAAGGGGTGTCTGCCAGGAAGCTGGTCTGGAGGAGAGGTCGGATCAAGATGCTACAACCCAGCCCCTCATGCTGGGCCCAAGGCGCCACCCTGCATTGGTGAGGATAGGTGCCAACAGCTGGCCTGTGGTGTGGCAAGGCAACCCTCACGGACCAGCAGTTCACAGGGTGTCACTGTCACATGCTGCAAAGGAGGAAGGGGGCACGCGGGAGCTCTAGGATAGCAGCAGCCACCCCTGATGGCTGCAAAGCACCCCACACCCCCATGTCACAGAGGTAATAGAAAGTGGGGACACCACAGGAAATGAGGGTGGAGCGTGAAGGAGGGAAACTGGGGGAGTCATCTGGAGTGCCACCCACCTGAGAAACTCAGGCCAAGTGCCCCCCCCACCCCCAAGCCAGAGGCCCTGATGCAAGGCCACTCAGCCGCTGCTCTGTGCGCTGAGGCACGTCACACACTCCGCAAGGCTCCACTGAGCCCTCATGCACTTGCCTCTACACAGGGGGCTCAGCCCACCACAAAATCTGAATGCATGCGTGGGAGGAAGAGGCTTGAAACTGGAGCCCCTGCCTGTGTTGTGCTGATAACTCCAAGGTCAGCAGTTTAAAACCACCAATCAGCTGCTCCGTGGGAGAAAGAAGAGGCTTTCTGTTCCCATAAACAATTACAGTCTTGGAAAACCAAGGGACAGTTCTACCCTGTCCTGCAGGGTCCCTGTGAATTGGAACAGACTCAAGGACACTTGAGTATGATTTGGGGTTTTGTCCCATCCCCACCCAACCTGGCTGGTTCTCTGAGTCTACTCCAGGTCTGCCTGACAGCTAAGTCTCACACCAAAATGGGCCAAAATGACTAATCTCCCCATATTTCATTAAGTGCACCACCAGAACCCGCCCATTTTCCACCGTGATAAATCAAGCCCTGGACTCATCTTGCCGAATGATTCAGGATCCGGAGGGATGGGGAAGAGGGGTTCTTACCACTGCTGGCCAAAAGGGGTACTTCTGATATTTGAGCCAGACCAGCATTCCCACTTCAAACGTACGTGGCTCTAGAATTGAAAGAAAGGAAAGCCAGGACCAGATGGTCAGATGTGCACCACGATGGCCCTGCTGCCCTTTTGGAATCAGGGTCCCTTCATGGAGCCCAGTCACATCAGTTCTTGGCACTGACCCCTCATAAACCATTTCTCAGGCCACCAGATCACCCACTGGCAGCTGGATGGGGGGGTTCAGGGAATATCTAACAGTTGATGGCCTTCAAGAATAACAAGATCAGGCCACCTTGAAGTGGGGAAGAGGAGACGCCTAACCGCAGGGCATGGACTCAACAGTGGGAAAGCATTCAGCACTGGGGGAAGACCCCACAGCCAAGGGCAGTACAGGCACAGTGGGTGGGAGCCTGTAGGCGCCCCCGCCCCCGCCCCCAAACGCATGCTGTGCTCCTGTCCTAGTCTCACACAGCACAGACCAGTCTGAGGTAGAGGGAGAAGGCACACCGAGGGATGTGAGGGATGTGAACTACTACGGTGCAGTGAGGTTGCTTACAAAACAAAGGACTGCAAAACAAAACAAAACAGAAAAGAAATGGTCAGCGGGCACGTCTGCATCGGTACTACTACCTGAGGGACCAGGGATGATCCTGCTCTGAGACAGTGGGGAGGAGTGACCCGCTGACTGGCTGTTCTAACACTTAAGCCTCCAGGAGCCTCCCTGCCCGCCCGCCCGCTCATCTTGGGAGATTTGGGCAACAGGCCCCTGAGCAGGCTCATGCAATCAGGAGCACACCTACCATGGTACAGAAGGATCTTAGGGGGCTCCTCTTCATCCTCATCTTCATCCAGGACAGAGTTCAGGGGACTCAACTCAGGAGACCGACAGCCTGTCAACAAGGCGGCCTCTGAGGATCGCTGTCCTTCCTGAGGGAAGGCACCGGGGCAGCAGCAGGAGCTCAAAGGGAGCGGGGATGAGTACAGAAAAGTGCCGCGCGAGCTTGAGGGGAGCGGACTTGGGGCAGGAATGCCTCTTGTGCCTGTGGTTCATTTCCTGAGTGTGGGTAGTGGGGTGCCGGGAAGACAAGATTCACTGCAGAGCAGGGGGGTGGGGGCACGACCTTCTCTCCGAAAATGCTGGCCAGGAGCCTCCAGAGGACTCGGCAGCCTGTGAACAGCCGTGTGGTTCAGGGCACCAGACCAGAACGAGCATTTCAAAAATAAATCTAGGGGTGCAACCTGAGAGGGGGAATTGCACCCTGGGCTAGCTGCACTCTGGCGGGAATTCTTCGAAAGCTGAAAGCATCCTAGCACGCCTGTCCACCGCTGAGATCCTGCCCAGCCTGCCTGGGATGCATTGTTGCTTCTGCAACAGTTCTAAAAGAAAAGAGCTAATCCCCGGGGGCAGGACAGCCGAGGCACTTTGTCAGTGACAATGCATCCAATAGTCCCGCCACCAAGCAACCGCTCAGCCATGCTCACCGGGGTTGGGGGGCTCCCTCCAGCTCCAAACACAAATGAAAATGATGTCTGGGAGATGCAGAAGTGATTATAGCCCAGTGGGAGAGGCAGAGAAGATGGAACTAGGAAACCTCGCTCTGAGTCTATTTTGGGAGTAAGCTCATTAGGGTCTGGTTAAACACACACAAGGGGCGATTCCAACCCCAGCCCAGCTTACCTTCCTCGGCCTTCCCAGGCTCCGGGAGGAGCGCAGGAGCCAGCCTGGCAGCACCGTGTAGGGCCACGCACCCCTCGGGCCCAGCCCCAGCTTCACCAGGTGACTTCTGGCTGCCATCCCAGCGCAGCCTCTTCTTGGGGAGCTCGCTGGTAAGCAGGCTGTCCCGGAGCACAGGGAGGGGCACCCCTGGTGACAGCAGGTCACTTTCATGGGTCCTGACTTGAGTGCCAGCTCCCTGGGACAGTGGCATCGCCAGGGTTGGGGGGCTGTCTGCCCCCATCTCGCTCCCTTCCTCTCTCTCAGCCCCTGCGTGGAAAGGCAGTGTGTTCTGGCCCAAGCTGGACTTCTGGGCATCACTTAGGCGAATCATGCCCGGCTTCTGGTGAGTTTTAGACCTGTTTCCATCCCGAGACCTAGCTCCAACATGAAGGGCTCCAATGCCCCCCATGCACTCAAGATCCTTGTCGCAAGCAGGTGAGCTTGACCAGCTGTGCTGGGCTCGCCCTTTCCGGCCATATGGGGGGCTGCCCAACATGTCTCTGCGGTGGAGAGATGCCGAGTGAGAGCCTCTGAGCCAGTTGGCTGGGTCTACAGGGCACGAGCTTGGGCACAGAGCTGCTTTTTCTCCCCCTGAAGGGCTTTCGTGATAAGAACCGGTTCCCTCGTTCAGAACATCCAGGGCCACTCGCAGTGACCGTCTGTAAGCCAGCTCCTCCAGAGGTGCAGCCGGGGCTCCATCCTGTGAGACTGCGGGGACAGAAGACCAACAAGGCGCGGTGAGGAAGCTGACGCCCACTGATTCTGACCTTGAAGCATCTGATCTCAATGAGCCACGAAAGGGAACAGCATTTCTCAACCATGGTGTCCCCTAAACAGGGACAAGGAGCTGCCATTGGCTGGCAGCTCCTACGGTTGTACTTGGAAAACAGAAACACAAAACCAAATTGACTGACCTTAAACTCAGTGGTTAAAAAGATAAAGTCCTCCAAGGTACAAAACAATACTCTGGGCAAAATGTATTCAAATGTTTTGCAAATCCTCTCCCAGCCTTACAATTTCGGATTCCATCAGGTTCAATAAAACCCAATACCAACTAAATAAAGAGCTGCACGGAGATGCATGCTCGGTTGGGGAGGGGGCGAGGGACCGCCGACTAAAAAGACTCATTGTGGGCCGATCAATCCTCAACACTACTTTGCAAGGGACTTTCAATGCCCACAACAAGCATTGCAGCCCTCCAGAGCTCAGCCCAACCTTCCTGGCTGCGGCAGTTTCAGTTACTCAGTCCGACACCTAGATATGGCACTGTTTATTTGAAGGAGATGATGGGTACAATATTCGTACTCCGCAGGCATAATACCACTATCCACACTGCATCTCCTGCCCCGTTTAATATTAAAAGCTCCCATAAATGACCAGCTCCCAAACTCGATGTGGGCAAACAATGAAAACAGCTCTCGGGAGACAGGGGTGGAGTGGAGATGGGGGAGCTACCACCTCAGGGTGATTGGAACAGCCTGCTCCAAACAATAACTGCCTTTCTGAAGCGCTACAAAACTTAAGTCTTCTTTCAGAAACACCATCAGAAGGCATCCCAGTGAATGTTTTCACAAAACAAACTCTGCAAATGGGATAAACACTCCCATTTTGAGGGGAGGAATGCTTCCATTTTGTTGTTGTTGTTTTTTTAATCATTTTATTAGGGGCTCATACAACTCTTATCACAATCCATACATACATCAATTGTGTAAAGCACATTTGTATATTCATTGCCCTCATCATTCTCAAAACAATTCCTCTCCACTTAACCCCCCTGCCATCCGGTCCTCATTTTTCCCCTCCCTCCCCGCTCCCCACTCCCTCATAAGCCCTTGATAATTTATAAATTATTCTTTTGTCATATCTTGCCCTGTCCGACATCTCCCTTCACCCACTTTTCTGTTGTCCATCCCCCAGGGAGGTCACCTATAGTTCCTTGTAATCAGTTCCTTCTTTCCAACTTATTTGTTTTTTAATATTTACGTTTGATAATTCCCACTAGGTGAATAGGGAGTCACTGCTGCCTGTAGGGTTTGTGTGTGTATCTCTCTCTCTCACACACACACACACATAGCAGATCCCTGGTTAGATGAGCTTCCTGAATACTCAAGTGGACGCTAGATGAGAAGGGATAAAGACTCTCTCCCACCTCCCCACCTCCCTCTGACAGCACCTACACACATGCTGGGTGCCCCAGCCGCCATCCCTCCTTCTCATCCTGGGTTCAGGTCTGGAATTTTAAACACAAAACCACCAAGTGCTTTGCAACCTCTGGCTGGAAATCAAGCAAGTCAAGCCACCAGCGAACCACTTTACAGGCTGATTAGGAGACAGGCTACAGGGCGAAAGCAAAGGCATTTCCTTGCTCCTCGAGGGGCTGTGCACGCTAAAGGGCACCGGCAGAAAGCAGACGGGCCTGACGAGCACCCTGGGCCGCCTGGGAGTAAGAACAGGATCAACTCTAGGGCAAATTCTTGAAGTGTTTAAGAGAGCTTTTCCTCTGCAGCTCAGGGAATCATTCCCTGGTACGAAAGGAGAAGAAAGTGCTGGATACTACCTAGATAGCTGAGCCTCACTCGAAGGGTCTCGTGCTTTCTCCAAAGGCGGCAGCAACATGCTCTTACCTAATGAGGAGGCAATGTCCTCAATCTGGGACTTCTTTAGGATCTTGACTCCTGTGCTTCTCACCTTAATTCTGCAGAGACAGAAAACGCTGTTAGCCACCACCAGTCAATGCCAACAAGACACTTTCAAACGTGTTTTTCCTTTAGATGACAAAAGAATTAAATTCATTTTCCTCCTTGTAGCAACCTTCCACTCAAACCAAAAGTTACAGCCAACCAGGAATTCACATGCCTGAGGTTAGAGGCGGCAAGGACCCTGGTGAATGTGGTTTCCTGTTTTGTATTTTTCTTCTTCCTCCTTTTAAGACAGAAAAAAGGTTGGCTGGATTTAAGACTAAAAATGAATTCAAATTGTGACTTTTAGGAGACAAATCCCTCTTTCAACTGCACAAATAAGTCCTTTGTTAGATTTTCAGAGCCGATGATAATGTCACTAAAAGCTGTTTACAGCCCAGCAGGTGTGTCTTAGTTTAAAAGGATGAGCTTTCCTTTTAAACTCAAGTATTCAATTACCTCTCCAGCCGCAGGGAAAGTGTGAGCTGGGGACCAAGCTTGCTTAGGAGACAGCTCTGAAGATGGAGCTCCCTGTGAGGAGAGGGGCAGGGGCAAGAACTGGGAGGACGACGACGAAGACGACGCAGAAGTACGGCTAGGTTGGTGTGTGAGCTTTGTTTGGAGGAGGGAATTCTCACATCAGACAGGCACGGCAGCACGATCACATATGATGCAGTCAGCATCCTCCTCCATGGTCTAGGGCACCCCAAGGCCAGTCCGGCAAGAGCAGGGCACTCATCACCAGCCTGTCTCGGGCTGTCTTTTGAAGGCTGGATTAAGTTCCTTACGGAGTGACAGGCTCAAAAGTGAAATATTTTAAAACTGTTGTTCTGTCACACAGATTTCTGATGGGGAGGAGGGGGGAAGGTGTCAATCTGTTTGAAGAAAACCCTCCTACTTTAACCCCAAAGATTTGACCTCAGATCATAATTTGTATTTAATCAATTTCTGTAGCGCTCTCTGTAGATCTGACAGAATACCTTGTGCAGATTTTCAATTTGCAAATTGACACATAAAATAAAAACCGCTGAACTCTTCATATGGAGTTATTACTAATTCTTAAATGAATTTATAATGGAATTTTTCTATGAATTTAAAGCTTCATCCATGGGACTTCACTTTTTTTCTTTTGGCGAGGGGGTGGGGGGAGATTACCAGAAATTATATACAAGTGGGGAAAAGTACCTATTAAAAGGGGGGAAAAGAAAAACACAAAAACTCCAAGTCACAACACTCAACTTTTCATCTAGGGAGAGTATTTGAACATCTAGAACAAATTCCTTCTTTTTCTTATTTCTTGTCGAAGTCTCAGTTCTGGCCAAAACCTATGATAAAAAAACAATAACGAAATCCTTATTAAGAAAAAAACTGAAAGAAAACTGTTCTCAAAAGAGGCAACAAATGAACACAAATATAGCAGGTCATTCTGAAAGCCTACACACACAAGGTTTCTGAGATACTTGTTCAATCTGTTTATTCCAGGTGGGGGGCTAATTAGAGGAGGACAGGTCAGCACTAGGGTGTGACAAGGACCCCA